GCTTGTGCTATTTCAAGTTTTAGTATTCAATCATGTCTTTGTCCTTTTTATTGTTTCCTCACGCTGTAAGTAGTGTTGATTGCTGAGATGACATCAATTAGTGACAGTTTTTTTTTTTGCAGTCCACTTATACGCCATTTGTATTTGTTCTGCCCATGATGATGCATCATTTAGCTGGGTGTTTGCTTGACTTTGCTGATACTGGACTAGTGCAAATATTCAAATATATGAGCAAATATTCAAATATATGAACAAATATTACAGTATTTGTCTTTGAATTCACTTTGATTCAATAGATGTTAATTATGATAGTTTTAATTCACTGTATTCACAGTGCCAGCTAATTAGAATTCGGTGCTGTATATTTGTTTGGGACACGTAACTTAATCTCACCACAATGTTGCTTTAAACCAGCACTGTCAGTTTAGCGTAGTCATAGTGGGTGTGGCAAACAAGAGCCATTAGGGTTTTGATTTATTTGCCAGGTTTTTGAAAACATATTGCGCCAGGCTGGATTTGCATCATTTGCATGAAGTGGGATAATGAAGCTATTCTATTGTGCAGAATGCAACAATTGCTAAATCTCGTGGGTCTCGTTGGCACCGATCAGTCATGACTAGTGCACTGTCCATCATCTCTGTCGCCTTCAAGCGATTTGGTGCTCCTGGGCTGAGATTCACATGCTTGCAAATATTCTGTCAAAACATTGAAGTATCAACAACCAGCACTCTTGCTATTGTTCGGTGACTGTACTGAACACATTGTCAAATACTTCAGTGATGTCTAATTCCCAATGATGGTTAAGCTAAATAGTAGTTATACTTAACCTTTGCTACCAGACGTTCACAAGTTTATCCTTAGCATATGCACGTGTCACCTAAAGCCAAAGCACTTTACCTTTGTCTTATGTAAGTCATATTTTGCATAGTCCTCATTTCACGCATTCTCTGCATTGTGTCCCCCAAGTACAGAAGTTTTTTCAGCAAAGAATTTGAGAATTTGTTTGCAGCCACCGTCTGATCAATACCACATTGTTCAACCATTTCTGAAATTTAAACTTCAGGGTTTATTGTCTTAAAACTGCTAGAGACTCATGAGGGGTACAGTAGTAAAGGGCTGAATATTAACTTTTTTAACCTAAGATTCTTTGACGTGCTACTAACACATATTACGCAAGCATTTTTGCATCTTATTCTTACCAGAATGTGGCCCCCATGGTCATGATGAAACCCTTAAACTCGTGCTCATCAGCACAACAGTAAGGCTATTGAGATACAGCAGCAAGTAACATACTTTTCAGTTTGTGAGGCAAACTCCAAAGTAAATGAAGGTTTTTTGTAAATACACTCCACAAAGCTGTTGCAGTCTGGTGTATACACTCGGTGATCACAAGCTTTATGGTTTAGCTAAAATATGGCACTGGGTATTATGTGAAGGCTACCTTTGCAAGTTATTTATGTGTCCTATGAAGCACTGATGAAAATATAGTTATTGTGGACAGCTGCCCAATTAAAGCATCATATGATGAACTTTCTAGTGACTGTAATAAGCTCACATAGTTATATTGAAAAGTTAGAGGCTGTCATGTTTCCACACAGTTCCACTAGGGAGAATCCTTCTAGCATGTCAATGGTCCAAGATATCCGGTTACAAAATTTATTGTGGTTCACATGCAAGACAGTACTCATGCAAGACAGTAAGGACCCATGCAAAGTTCCTCTCTATGTGATGCACAGTCATGCCATGATATTGCCAACTGGTAGAAAAACTGTAACCATCATCAATATTTTTGCCTATGCTTTCGAATCTTTGTCAGAAGAAAAGCCACATGCAACTGCCCTGGTACATCAAGGAGGAGTGTTGCACTAGTCCTCAGTGTCTTGCATATGTAATCATGCAAACAACAATTAAACTTTGCAGCCAGATATTTTAGAGCACAGATATGCTTGGATTCTTTCAAGAAACTGTACGGAAACCTCGATGCCCCTAAGGTTTCAATACACACATGCCCAGTTACTGCAGTCACCAAAGTTTGTTATTTTGTATCAATTCATAGGGCAGCTGACAGCAGTAATTTCCTACTCCCCAGGATACAAAACTCGTTAGTAAAGGTGGTCTTCACGTACGACCCAGTGCTGAATTTTGATTTGATTTTTGATATGTGGGGCTTAACATCCCAAAACCACCATATGATTATGAGAGACGCCATAGCGCTGAATTTTAGGAACATCATAAAGCCTAATATTGATTAACGACGTTCACCGGCTGAATAGTATCGCAAGTTTTGGTGTTGCACTAAATCACAGAAAGGAGATGACAAACATTGGCTAACATTCATTATGGTAGAGCTATGTCAAATTGAACAGATAAGCGCTTCCCTTTCTGTCAGTTTTCTTCACTAGTAATAGTGGGTATTTTAATTAAACTTGAACAAGGTTCTTAAAGTTTCTCTCTTACTTGGCACCATTATAAATTTTATTACTAATAGAAGTTTCTCCCTCACTTAGCACTATTACAAATTTCGTTACTACTAGAAAATAATTTTATTGCATTAGTTGTTAACCGATGAAGTTAACGCTGATCAATTGATATGTGGGGAATAAGTTAATGCTCCGTTTGCTAAAGAGGCGGACATCCTTCCTGTTACTTGATGCCCTACCTCCACTTCTACCACAGGTCATAATTTTTTACGTAAAGGTATTAATAAACCATTATTAGAAGAGTCGAGAGTAACTGCCCTGCTACCATGTCTCTGTGGCGCTAGCATCATATGGTTCACCTGCTGTGCTTCCGCTTGCGGCAGCCCTTCCCAGTGTTTTTTTTTTCTACGGGAACAGAGGAGCCATGTCATCTTCTTAAGATAGTTCTAGCTTCCCTTTCTTTTCCTCTTCATTTTGCTTTACTATGCATATTCAATGTATATTCATTTAGTACAAACACACCAGTGGTCAAGTGTGTGTTTTGTAGGACATTTGTGTCTGCGACCTTGACTCAAAGTGCAGCTCATTTTTGATATTGATGCCCGAACCTGGCCAGGTTCTTTAAAAAGGTGTCATATCTAAGGCCAATTACACGTGCAGTATTGCCAATTACACGTGCAGTATTGATATGGCCAGGTAAGGTGTGGAACAATTTCGGAGCAGAGAAAATGGCGTTTGCGATCACTTGCAGCAGTACAATAAATATTTATTTGGTATACATGCTTATGGAGTGTTAACAATAAATGCTGCTTTAATGTAAACAAATCTTAGAAGGACACTAAATAAACATTTTCTCTCATATTACAGAATAATTCCTTCATGATAGAAAAATTGCTACACTTGCTGTGAGAAAACGCTTGGTAAGCCAGAAAACACGCGAAAAGAAAATGTGTGTGACAATGTCGCCACAAGTTTCCTGCACCAGTTACCATGACATCGTAGATTTTTGACATTGTTCTTTAACAGTACACAGTCTTCAAAGGGCACGAGAGAATTAACATACCAACTTTCAGAAAATTTTGCTGGGCCATTGTGGCGGATAAAATACAAAAAAAGTACTTCGAAATTCATGACATCAGCTTCGGAGAGTTTGGCAGGAACCTAATATTTTCCATCTTGTTCCCTATGCCTCCCTTGTCTGTTGGGTTAACTAGGTTGAGTCTAACAAAGAAACGAGCACTTAGATAATTCTCTATCGAGCAGGCTTTACAGCTTTTAAACTGTAACCTATGCCCTAAAAGTGTTAAATATACAAATAAGGTAATTAGCAAATTACACTTCAAAATATCACACTAGCAGTTCAATACAAATAGAAATAATCTCACTTGTTCTGATTACACGAAATGGACCACCACCATGTTTGAAGCTTGGTTTCACGTTTCTTCAAACTCCCACCATTGGGCATTTATTAATCCAGGAACGTCAAAAATATACAGCTTTAGAAGTGAGCCACGGAGGAAGGAAAAAGGTTTTCCTTCCTCCGTGAAGTGAGCCTAGGTGAGGAAATCCAGTCCAGGGGTGCAATGGTGAACATTTTGAGGCATGATTTGATTGATATGTGGGGTTTAACATCCCAAAACCACCATATAATTATGAGAGACGCCGTAGTGGAGGGCTCCAGAAATTTTGACCACCTAGGGTTCTTTAACATGCACCCAAATCTGAGCACACGAACCTACAATATTTCCGCTTCCATTGGAAATGCAGCCGCTGCAGCCGGGATTTGAACCCGCGACCTGCGGGTCAGCAGCCGAGTACCTTAGCCACTAGACCACCGCGGCGGGGCAGAGCATTTTGAGGCAGTTGGCTTGCTTGTTGCTTTTTCTGGGGGCTCCTACCCGTCATGAAACTAGCAGTTATGCTGAAACATATTGAATTGTGATGACGAACAAAGAATAAATGAGTTTCCTAGGGTGTAAACAAATATTGACAATTTTATACAGCAATAAATATATTAGAATCTATGTGAAAAACAAAGACCGTTAAGCGAAATTCTCAAAATACTTGATTTTTGTTGGAAATAAATTTATGGGGACTTCTTGTATTACAAAGAAAGTTGCGTATTGCTAAGCAAACAATCCTGTTGCTGTGGCTCAGAGAAAATGCCCCAATAGAAACAATATTTTGAGAATTCAGGGTACTTTTTTTAAAAAAATTTCAAAATGCTTTTCCCTACGACTAGTCTACCAAGTGGCATTGGTCACGATAAGTATCGAAAGAATGAGCCAGTCAGATATGACCTTCTCAACACATGAGAAAACGAATGTTGGATCTTTTGTAGAATATTAGCTAATCATGCTGGGCATGTACCACACTAATAAAGCCCAAAATGAACCTTTTATTTATGCTTGTATTATGGTATAGTATAAACTATATTCTAGAATAACATTGCTGGTCTAGTTGAGAGGAAAAGTAATAAGGACAACACATCTGCAACCTTGCAGACACTACTGTGCCCTTGCAAAGCCATTACAGATGGCTTAACCTTGTAACAAAACACACAATACAAACACAAAAATGTATGGTTGTAATACTTGAAGCAAATACCAGGTTTAATTCAAATTTCATTACATTGCTTTGTCAATCTAAAAATTTTTTCTTGGGCCATGAGTCTTGTGTGTTACTATCCAGAAGTGACGCTCATCAGGTAGACGCTGTCTCTGCTTGTGTCTTCCATGCGTCTTGCATAGGACATACCAACGATCATCTCCTTTCTTGAAGTAGCAGTCTTTGCATCGTTTTGTAAGAACATCCAAGTCTTTAAATGTCCGCACTGCAACTTGCAATGGTGTTTCTGTTACAAGAGGTAGAGTAGAAGCTTTCTTCTGTTGGCTGGCACTTGCAGAAAGAGCGCTGAATTTCCGCGTGGCTGTGCATGATGTGGAATTAAGCAGGCGTGCAATGCTAGGCATTGTTGCCGAGCGCTGAATCAAGGATATCATGGTAGCAGCTGGTCAACCGCACACCTTCCTGAAACAAACAAAACGCGAGAAATGAACCACAAAAATGCAGAAATTCATATCCAGCCATCAAGTGACAAAGTGAACCAATTGGAAAATTTAACATGTAACTGCATTTTACAAGCCAAGAACGTAGCCTACAGAAGGGTATGTCTTATTGCCCGGGCACAATAAGAAAACATGTTCTGGTTGCATTATTTTGTACCACAGCCAGTTTTGACATGTCAACTATACATTATAATATAGACTGAACCATACTTGTCTAGTGAAGATGGCTGTATAATGCGCCAGTGTTCTCTGCAGTCACCTAGCAACAAGCAGTTTGTGGCCCCAGCTGCTAGGAGGCAAACGAAGTTTCCCAACCAGTTTCTTGTACAATACTCATACATGGTTACGTCTGCCCTAACTGCCTTGGTTCCCATTTCTAAACATCTCAACATACTTTAAAATTCGAAAGCGGCACATTACACGCGTTCCGCCACTGGCTGCTAGGTTTCACTCATGGTTAAACTTATGCAGCAGGACCATACACGTCGTCTCTCTGAAACATAGGCCCATGCTTTCTTCTACAAAAGACAGCCACCAAATTGGCCAAACAGTGCTGTTATCAAGATGGTAAATTGGGCAAAGAATGAGAAAGGCGCACAAGGCGGCTTATGTCTTGTGTGTCCCTCTTCTTTTTTGTCGGCTAGTTACACTGGTTACGCGCTGTTTACACGAAATGTGCTGTTATCTCCAACATTTAAACAAGCGGTTAATGTCTAGCAATGCCAGCGCCAACAAAAAACGATTTTTGTTGGTAGAAGGCCTGCTCTTGCGCTATGTTCAGTACAACACATCACCATCATCAGCCGGACTATGCCCAGTGCATGGCAAGGCCTCTCCCATGATCCGCCAATCAAGCCGCTCTTGTGCTTTCTGCTGCCGCGTTATGCCTGCTAACGTTTTAATCTCATCGGCCCACCAAACTTTCTGTCTCCTCTTCATGCGTTTGCCTTCTCTTGGATTCCAGTCAGTTACCCTTAATGACCAGCAATTATCCTGCCTACGTGCTACGTGCCGGGCCCATGTCCATTTCTTTATTTCAACTATGATATCCTCAACCCCGGTTTGTTCCCTGACGCACTCTGTTCTCCTCTTGTCTCTTAAGGTTACACCTATCATTTTCCTTTCCATTGCTTACTATGTCATCTACAATTTAAGCTGAACCCTCTTTGTACGCCTCAAATATGTAACAGCTGCATCCGGCAGGATGCAGCTGTTACATATTTCCTCTTGAGAGTTGGTGGCAGATGATAATTCACGATTTGAGAATGCTTGCAAATATGATCCACCCTATCCTTATTCTATTCATTTCACTCTCATGGTTCGGCTCCACGGCTTATCCTAAATAGACATATTCCTTTACAACTTTCAGCATCCCTCCACTTATCGCTAAGCGCTGTTTTCTGCCAAGACTGTTGCGCATTACTTTAGTTTTGTACACATTTTCAGACCTACTTTTCTGCTTTCCATGTCCAGCTATGTAATCATGAGCTGTAATTCGTGCCCTGATTTACTAATCAAGGCAATGTCATCAGCGACTTGCAGGTTATTAAGATACTCTCCATTAACTCCTATCTTTAACTCTCCCCAATATAGGGTCCTGAAAACCCCCATGCGGTGAATAGCATTGGAGAGATCGTGTCTCTCTACCTTACACCCATAGAGTTTTTCACAATCATACCTAGAGGGAAATCTGGCGCTAGTGAGCTGCTGGATGCAAAGGAATGATGGGATACGTTAGCTTCGAACTTGACTCGTATTTGTATACCTCAAAGACGCCTCTGGCTCCAAGTTAAAATGATTGATAAGAGCACATAATAAGCTATTTATTTTTGTCATTACACAGAAATGTGTTGTATTTAACACTAGAACTTTCTACGTTGATGTACAGTTTCACGAAGCGTAAGAAGTAACCAACGGCCGCTAAACTTGCCAGGCAGACGACAAAGCGAGCATTCTTTCAGACACGTTTATGTCGTCTGTTTCTTTTCTTCGCCGTTTGGTTGTGCCATCAAGGTGAGTAGACTTTTATTTTAGAATATATTACGCGTGAATGAGATTCGCTCAAACATTTCGTTTTAGAGAAGCTTTATTTACGCAGTCGTATTCGCTTTTGAGCTGAAGCCTCGCTCAACACCAGCCAACACAAGCCTCGCAGACATATACCATCATTCCCAGCGCTCCAACATCGCTCCTTAAGAGATTCGCATAGACGGTAGCGCCACACTTATCTTTAAGTATTTGTGAGAAACTATGCTTACACCCTTCTTTATTGGGATTCTGTCGCTTTCTTTATGGAGAACTATGGTGGCTGTGGATCCTCTGTAGATTTCTTCAAGTATGCTTATGTAGGATTCTTTCATGCCTTGATTCCGTGGTGCCTGCATAACTGCTAATGTCTTGACCGAGTCAAACGCCTTCTCGTAATCTATGAAAGCTATCCATAGGGGTTGGTTGTATTCAGTGCATTTCTTTATTACCTGATTGATAGTATGAATATGATCTATTGTGGAGTATCCAGTACGAAATCCTGCTTAGCCTTTTGATTGATTGAACTGTGACATTGCCGTAATTTTATTAGCTAATATTTTTATAAATAGTTTGTAGAGAACAGACAGTAAGCTGATCGGCCTGTAATTTTTCAAGTCTTTGACGTCTCATTTCTTAAAGATTAAGATGACGTTGGCGTTCTTCCAAGATTTTGGTACTCTTCCCATCAAGAGACACTGTATATAAGGTGGGTCATTTTTCTGGTCCGTTGTTACCTTATCCTCACCAGCGGCTTTGCCTTTTTCCATTCCTTCTACGGCTTTTCTTACTTCTCCTGTCTTTACTGGTAGGAAGTCGAATTCCTCTGGTCCCATTATTGTTTCTCACAATATCATCCTGGTTCTTTTGACTTCTGTACAGCGCTCTGTAGAACTCCTCCGCTATCTTGACTATCCTATCCATATTGGTTATGACATTGCCTTCCTTGTTCCTCAATGCATACATCCGATTTTTGTCAATGCACAAGTCTGCCTTCACAGCTTTTAGGCTTCTGCCACTTTTTACAGCCTGCTCAATTATTTCTATGTTATACCTCTTGATGTCGGCTAAAAAGATAGACTTCCACAACCTTGTGTGGTGCGAGGTGGCCACGGCAAGACTTAGTGTGAGGACCACTTGGCAAGGACCAGAAGGGAATGGAATTACTCCCAGCCAACGTTAGCCCTTGCAGTTCCCACTGGCCTTCCCAAGGACGTCATGTGAAACTATCCATGAAAGCTATTGTGTAATTGTATTGATTGATATACTTGTCTTTATTGCCGTGGCCACCGGAAAAATATAGAACAACACGAGGGATGCGAGAAACTAACAAAAAATGAAAAAAAAAGGTCAATTATTGAACTCGGCAATCGACACGAAAAACGTCATAACGGAACACGAGGAGAAAAAGAAGCTAAAATGTGCTCAAGGCCTACACTCAGTTATGGAACCTATTAAGAAATATTAAACTTCCCCTTAAGACAGATGCACTAAGATATGCCAGACCGTGCCGACTAAACCCAAGGGCTAACCCTAGCTCTACGATTTCCCGACAGACCATGCTCCTTGCTCCGAAGACCATGTCGCAGGATGAAAAAGTCTTCTGTGGATCAAACAGACCCTTCAGAACTCGATATTTCGCACCCTTCTCACTCGCCTTGTGCTCCAGCACCCCTTCATTTGAGTCCCAGATAATCGCCGGGTCAATCACCAACACCTGGTCGCCAGACTCAACAACCAAGTCAGGCTTGAGTCTGAAACCATCCCTAGTGGTAAATCGCGGCTCCTGGCGACCTGTCTGAAGACAAAATTGTGGCGTTCTGTGCGAGAAAGGTGAACGGAATTGCATTCCTGGCAAATCTGGAATGCTGTTTCTGGCTTTTCACCACAGCGGGGGCATAGCCTCGAAGCAGGATCTGTACTTTGTTTATTAGTTAGAGCCCTGATAGGGTATAGATTAGTCCGCAACCTAAGTCCCCTAATTCTGTCTCAGTCTTTTAATAATTTTGAATCGTGGCTAGGCCACTTATTTGCAAGAGTCTGGTCATGATGTGATAAAAGGTCCCTATTGCTGTAGTTTGCCTTTAAACGAGACCACCACTTCTGCGAGCCTCTGTGAAGTACAACAGTCACTTCAGCAGCTCCAGTTATGCCCGAGGGCACCTCAAACAGTGAAGAAATACGAGAAAAGTTTTTATTCAATACTGTTTCAAATAGACAGTCCACGAACGGACTGCCCAGTTAAAGTAATATGGAGCGCCTGAGAAACCCTCTGAAGCTGAATAATCCCTAACCCACCAGATTTGGCCGGAAGCCAGACACGCAAATTGGGGAACCCCCCGGGCAGACGCAGAGACTGCTTTATCCATTTGCGTAGTATGCCATCGAGCCTAGTCGATTCTGAGGAAACATTCAGAGTATTCGAAGAGCCATATAAGAACATGGGCACAACCAATTGCCTAAGACAGTGTAATTTCTGAAACTGTTTTAAAGAAGCCTTAGAAAGTAGTTCCAAAAGTGTGAAAGGTTTATCCGAGTCAACTCTCGGGTTCTTATTTGTATAGAGATTAAGACCTCAGTATTTCATGGGCTCATCTCTCTCCTTAGGGAATAACAGATCGCCTCAAATTGTCAGGGGGGGAATTGTGTAATTAAAATCTTTACATTGATGGCAAGGTCACCATCCAAAATATTGTGACTTAGAGGGGTTGATTTGAAAATCAACATTGTGAAGACATGTAACTGTTTGGTCGACTAGAAGCTGGAGACCCTCAACAGTGTCGGACATCAATAACATATCTGCGAAGGCCATAGCTGCCAAAGATACACCTCCCAGAGGGACCCCCACCCATAAGTCATTAAGCTTGTAAAGAAGAGGATCAAAAATCCAATTGAAAAGAAAATGAGACCAAAAGTCTCCTTGCTTAATGCCTCGTCTCAACGATACCCTGATATTGTCAGTTTCTCCATTGATGGAGTAAGTTGTGGTACTATAGCTTCATTGGAAATGCCCAATTCAGCAAAGGACAGACAAATCTCCGAAGCGGAGAGTAGAAGAGGAGTAGGAAATGGTGAGCCAGAGAATGAAGGTAATGTGGGAAGATTGACGGTATGCGATTCGAGAAGTTCCAATACGTTCTGGTAACGATTGGTGCGACGAACTTTAAATATACTTGAAACAGTATGACTGCCGAAAACTGCATGTAGCGCCTCATTGATTCTCCTATGGCCCCCCACTCCAATTCTCTCTTCGTCAGAGCGATTAACTCAGTATCTGGCCATCTGCAGTGATAATATGCAGGTCCCTCAATGTAATGTTCAGTGTGTAAGCTGGTATGAGTAAACTGAAGCTTTTCAAGGACTTCAATGCATCTAGCCATCTTACACAGTTTTTCTACAGCCTCTCTAGAGCAGTGTGTAAATTTGGTTGCTAGGACATCGTCAACAGAGTAGACCTCGCCAAGGGTTAACTCTGCGTAGGCCAACGCCTCGACCTCAGCGTCAGACCATTGTCCTTGTGTGAGATTCACATATCCCCTTGTGCAAGGTCTGGGGAACTTGAGCAGGTTGCGAGAAAGCCGTATTTTCAATACGAGTCGCAGGTTCAACGACCAATTGGTCTTCATTGCCAAGTGTCCCAATATCGCCCTCAGCAATGTCCAGTGATGCACAAGAAGGCATATGAATTGAAGATGTATTAGTAGGCTCTAGACTGGGCTGAACAGGAACCTGTACAAGAGGGGAATCGGAGTGGCTAATTGAGAGAGTACGAGTAGATGCATGTGTATCTACAGGAGAAGTACATAGAAAAGGTTGTGTTTCGTTTCAGACCTGAACATTGTCATTCGATGCATTTATGAAACATTCATCATGGGGGTGGAGCTCAGGGGTGACTCCAACAACAATGGACCCGACCGAATCAACTCCGGATTCAGAAGGAGAAAAGTGTGGTTTACTAACAGGTGCAGCCTGATCCTGAAAGATATCTATAGTACATACTTCAGCAGATGACTGTTCTGAAGTGCAGGAAGTTTGTTCATTTGAGTTGCTAGTTGCATATTGCAACCATTGAAAATGGACCTCTTACATTTGGAAAAATGCGAGGACATTGATTGGGCAAAAGGAAGATGTTTGGTGAGGCAATGGGTACATTGCCATATTACTGCAATAGAATGAGACCTGTAATGATGTACTTCAAGTTTATTTCTAGAAGTAGCTTTCCAGCTACAAATCTGGCAGGTGTATGGACTAATATTATAATTATAAGAAATGACGTGTTCTATAATGAAAACCACATCAACCGGGACGGGAAAAAAAAAAAGGTGCTAGTATAAGCGTACGAATAAAAAATGTTTTAAGCAACACGTAACAACTAGGCTGCTCATCGAATGAAACCCAAAGAAGTGGTGATGGCCGAAAGGCACAGCTATCAAGTGGAGCAAACTAGAAGGTAAACAGTCTTATGCCTATTAATTAACATTGAAAGCTCCACTAGCTCTATTTTGTCAGTTGCGTTTGAGGCTTTCACCATTTGTCGTCTCTTGATAAGACTTTCCGCCTCCCGAGATAGTTTTCCAGTTTCCTGTCTAGTGACCGTACCTCCAACTTCAATTGCACACTTTTTGATGATACTAGTTGTCAACGCTAACGTCAATTTTCTAATTTAGAGCCTCAAATCGATTCTAAAGGAAAACTCTGAATACCCGTGTTTTTCCTCTCACTGCCATTTCATTAACTGGCTTCTTGCGTACCAGTTTTTGTGTTTGCTTTTTAAAATCTAGGTGAATACGAGCTCTTACCATTCTATGGTTACAGCGTCTAATCTTGCCAATTACTACGACATCCTTTACAATGTCTGGGTGTGCACACAAAATGAAATCAATTTCATTTTTAGTTTTGCCATTAAGACTTCAACACGTTTAGCCCGTTTTCAGAAGAAGGTATTCAAGATCCGTAAATTATTACGTGCTGCGAACTCTACTTATAACGCCCCTCTGTCATTTCTAGAGCTGATGCCGTATTCCCCCACTGCATTGTCTTCAGCCCGTTTCTTACCTACTTTGGCATTAAAGTCGCCCATCAGAATAATATGCTGGGACTTTATGGCTGACTCTACGTCTTCACAGAAGCGTTCAACCAAACGATCATCGTGGCTCGATGTAGGGGCGTAGGCCTGTACAACACACCTGTGCTCGATTCCACCCCAGAAAGCACGTACCTTTTACCTGTCCACAGCTCAGCGGCACCTGTACGAGTAGCACCACAGAACACCTACCAGTTTGTAGCACGCTGAGCCAGCCGAGCCACAGAACACCTGCTGTGCACCTACGCTAGGGTGTCCCAACCTACGCCGAACACGCTTCGAAGGAGCGGTCCTCGTTCCCGGATGTGACGTATGTACGTGCAATTTAGGTATCATGAAACGAAACTCCGAATTCCTGTACTATGGTGGCTAGTACACTGTAGCTGTTCGCTATGGTGGCTAGAAGGAGAGGTGTCAGCATCGTCCCGGCCACGCCCACCACGCCTTGAAAGGAAGCGTGCTGGTAGTTCATCTCGCCGCGGAGCGGCGCGCAAGTCGCCACTGCGATCGGTCGAGAGCGCTTGCCAGCCGCTAGCGCGGCACTTTTAGTCGCTTGCTCGTGTGCTCGCAAGTCGCAACGTCTGCGCTTTGCCTATTTGGACTTGTTCGGGATCAATACGTGTCATTGTGATCATGCAACAATGATGAGTAAACAGCAAAGACACTGCTTCGCACCTGGATGCAATGCGGGATATGATTTGGCCCGCAAACAAGGGAAGAAAGCGTTTCTCTTCTCTGCTCCCGCCGACAATGAACAGAGCAAGGCCTGGGAGCGTATGATTCCTCACGCTGACAAACCACTGAAAAAGAACTGCGTTGTGTGCGAAGCTCATTTCGACGAAAGATTCATCGTCCGTAGATACAAGCATGTTATCAACTGGTTCTTAGCAACTTGGGAAAAAGCTTTACCTAAGGAGGGTGGGTTCCTGAGTGGATCAACTGCCGATGGACTACGCGTCACTCTAACCAGCACCCTTTCCATCCGACACTATGTCACGAAAACCTTGGGCAATAAACACTTGATGACGTCTCACCTCTGCCAAGACGCACTTGAAATCTTTTTTGGAATTCTGAAGCAAATGTCTGGCTCGAATGATCACCCTTCGCCGACACAATTTTTGATCTCTGTGACTTGCCTCAGTTTTTACAGTTTGGCACAGTCACCCCCAGTGGAAACATACCTTCTGGAGTTCCGAGCTGCCTTCTATGTCCGGGCATTCACAATAATTCAATAAAATTGCAGAATAAGCTGGATGAGCTGCTAGATGTGGGGTGGCTCAATGAGGTTCTTGAAATTATTGTTGCTTGTGAAGACCTCCCTGACTACACTGATCTCATTGGACGCAAAAGTGACTCCCGGATCACTTATTACGTCAGTGGCTAAGTGGCCCGGAAGATGGTGAAAAAGACGAAGTGCCACGAATGTAGCAGGTTGCTGCTTCACTCAGAATTTCAGCTTGCTTCCGACAGAATCATGTCTTCTGTACCCGTCAGAGTCTTTAACACACCTGGTCAAAGCTATGAAAGATGCACTCACCTATTGCTACAGTTTCAACAAGTTGAAAAATGACAGCATAACAGACTTTATCTCTTGCCTGTCTGTGAAGAGGTTAAATATGGTTGGCTGTGAACACCACAAACTGGAAGTGACAAATCAGATAATTGGATTCTTTACACTGACCAGAATGCATTTTCTCTCGCTGGAGAAAATGCGTCCAATCAAAAAAAAAGAGAGAAAAAATGAAGTTTTTGAAGTTGAGACGCCTGACTTACCTGTCACAGTATTAACTCAGCGAACAAGGTTTTATTTTATGTTATTGTGCATTACTCACACTCTGTTGTTTCTTGGGATTTGACTATTGTCCTGTTCACATTGTTATAAATCCCCCATTAACAACTGTGATATCACGAATCTGGCTGTGTTCACATATGCAGAAATCGTTTTTTTTTTTTGTGTGTGTGTGAACTGGTTTGTGACTGTATCTATGTTTGCCAATGAAATCTCAATGTCATGTGTGTATGTATGTCCATTGTATCATCGTATATTTACTGTTATCTTTAGTATTCTTATTCACTTGCTTTAGCTGAGTTTTATATAACTTGCAGTTTTCTTCACCCTAATGCATATACGTTGTGTTTATTTTCATGTTGCATTTCGCTTTCGAGAAAATAAATTTCTTGCTGGTAAAATTAGACCTTGATTGAGCGAGTCATAAAAATAATGGTTGCCGATACCTTTACGTGCATTAAGACTTCACGGAGAACACTGGGGCATCAAATTTGAAAACTGCACGGACTTTGTTTTAGTGTCAAGCTCACGGCAAGTCACTTGATTCTCTATATTTTAAGCTTCGTAGCTGATATATACGAAGTGAATTGAAAACACTCTTTTCAGTGCCAATACACGCTTTGCAGCGCGCCGCCGGAATTGTGACAGGTAGACTTTGTTACAATCCGCAGGGTAGCGTGAAATATTTGCAACAAAAAACGACTGATACGTGCGAGGAGGGGCATCTCGAAAACGACTGCAGCGCCGCTGCATCCGGGTGAATTTTCGCGCACTCTCCGGCGCGCCGATACTGACACCTCTCCTTCTAGCCACCATACTTTCGCTCTCACCGCTAGTTCCTGAATATCAATTTTTGTCTTTGCTTTTTTTAAATCTAGGTGAATACGAGCTCTTAGCGTTCTATGGCCACTGCATCAAATTTTGCCAACTACTTCTACATTCTGTACAATGCCTGGGTGTGTGCACAGAATGAAGTATTTTTTTTTTATTTTCAGCCAACCAAACAACAAAAACCTGTCTAATGATGATGCTAGTACTAGCAGCGCCATCTCGCCACGCGGTATTGCAGTTCAGTACGCCGCCGCTATAAACAACAGTCCAAAGGTACAGTTTCCGTTCTCTAATGCTGTAGGTGTGTTTTGTGGTGCTGCTGTTCGGCCAATTTGTCGCAGACACATAGAGGTCATGTATTCATGCGTGCGAAATCCGTCGAAATTTGCTCAAATTTCGCAGCGCCTGGCACTTCAGTGTCGTCTAAGCTCTAATGTGAAAGATGTGGAACCTCCCAAAGATCCTGTAACGCACACCGGGCAGGTAAGCCATTTTCTCTGCTTACCCATTCCATTTATGTAGCTTGCAGCCTCAGTCGTGCGGCGTTGTAGTTAATGCTCAGGCAGAGTTACACGTGCTAAGTTTGTGTTGAATAAGTGCGATCCAACGACTCTTATGCTCCTGACCTTGTGGAAATTTACGAAATACTTTATTTTTCAGCACTGGGCCAAGGATGATTATCGACTAGTCCGCTTTATGGAAACCCCTAAACAGGTGAGATATGCCCGCAGTTTTAGTTGCAAGCTCTTTCGCTTCTGGTGGTGCTTGCTTGAGCTACTTGCTTCTGATGGTGCTCGCTTGAGGTATGAAAATTGTTAAACCTTTGCAGCTAGTAACTACTTAATTGTGTGACAAGAGACCGTTGGATGTCTGGCACACATTCTAGTGGAACAACCTTAATTTTCATTAAGAGTCGCAGTATTGGCGTTTTTAGCTGGCAAACAGAACTAATTCTATCATCAGTGGTGTTTGGGGAAAAAAAGTGAGGGAGGGGGACAAAATGCATGTGTTTATTTTGGATCAGCTGATAAAGGTTGTGTAGACTTATTTATGGGCTTTCATTATTGCCCATAAGCATGCGGACGAATGAATGTTTAACATTACAGACGGAAACTTGATGTCATAAATGGAGACTGAGGCATCAGTTACGGAGCAAAGCAGGTGAATGTGCCGCCCTCCCTGATGTTGTTCATTAGCTGGCTGAATTTTTAGGATGCTTAAATATTGACTACATTTTTTTCTAGATTTGTTGCAGATACTTTTTAGATATGTGTGTACAGTTACCATCTATAATTCACAATACCCCCCAGTCAAGGCCAGCTAATGGGTCCCCTCCGACACCCTAAGGCCTGTAAAGTGTATACCTTTGAAAGGAGCTATATGTTATCGTGAAATTCCAACTATGAATGGAAACTAATTGACTCACTTGCAGACTGTATGCCTAATGGAATGCTTTCTATAAGTACCACCCAAATGTAATTACCCTTGGGTTGTATTTGTAGACACTTTTTTTTTCTTCTTATCTGTTGCACATGATGGATGATCATTGCTGTGGCTGGGATGTGGCTTTCCGTGGTTAATGAGAATCTGTAAAATCTTGACGTACCATGTGTATGTACTTGACATGGTTGTAGCATTTCCTTGATATTTTGACACAGAACTCACCCTCGTGTCATGAAAGTCCTTCATATACTTTCAGCCAATGCCAACGGTAGCCAGGAGGCATTTGGCTAGTAGCGGCTGGATTAGCAACATATTGGCGTTGTGTTCTTGCCATGGATGCATGCTCTATTTCTGCTTCTAATTGTTTAGAATCTCAGATGGTCATCAGTATACAGAAGGATGCTGAAGAATTGTTGAGTGCTGCAATGTCTCTACCACTAAATCCCCTGGAATTTCGTAAAGTAGCAACACTCTCCTCCTTGTGCGCTCTCGTTTATCTTCGGTCTCCTCTGCTTCGCACTCTCTTTTCGAACGTGGCGCTACCTGCTTTGCTCCTGCGTAGCAGGTGCCCTTTCGCGACGAGAGTGCTTGCTCAGAAGGCAGCGCGCTGAGAGCGTTCACGCTAACCAACTAAGTCACCCTAAAATTAACTTAACAAGTGTGACATTAGCCCATGGCATCTTTGTTTAGTGCCGCGCACAACGCGTATGTGGGATCACGCCTTGATCGAGTCACTCGGCGTCGCAGTGACCAGATGTTAACTTTGTGCGCATCACCCCTTAGTATGAATGTTCTTAAATATAAAGATTTGATCGTTAGTGAGAACCCCCGTTTTGTCTTGACCCAATCTTTAGCTCCTCTACGAGTAAGTTATACACTCTAAATACCATTGCTCAGACGTTCATGTGCGGCTGCTGTGGCTTACCTTTTTATTAGCTAGCACGATAGCGCCCGAAGGGACAGTGCTACTGTCTTTCCTTATTCAGTGCATGGGTGGTGCAAGCTTTGCCGTATATAGAGTGTACAATATGTGCAGAGAGCATTCACAGTGACTGTCATGCAGTGGAAGCAACAATTCGTGTTGACACTGCCAACGCTGAACGGCGATGTCACCGACGGCCAATTTTAGCGTTTTGTGAAGCATCTAAGGCCTTAATAATGTGTTAGAAGGCTCACACTGTTCACAGTTGATACATTCGAACAGCTGTGGTTGTTTCATGAAGTGTTACTAATCGTATTTAGGAAGTGCATCATGTAGACTTATTTCACATATGAACTATATCACTGAAAGAATGAGCTAGCATATGAATGAACTAGCGTGCCACCATACGTGATTACTTCGCGAGAGCTCTACTCTCAGATATAAACCTTCACACAAAATAGCAAATAAACTATCATGCGAAATGGCACGTATGTGTGAGGTTTCTAAACGATGGACACACCCAATGACTCGAAGGCATGCATGCTTTGCATATCTGCCCTCGTAACACGGGTCCCCCAGCTGATCAGTCAATGTAAAAGAGCTACGGAGAGCAATTTGCTCTGAAATACACGAGCATGCAACAAAAGCTTACGGAGAGTACCAATCTTAATGTGAGTTGCTGCACTCCAGTCTTGTTTATTCAAAACAGCAGCACGGAATAAAGTTTTGCAGGATCTCTGCTACAGCTGCCGAAATTCTAAGACAAGGACCAGTACCTGCAGAGCTAATCTCGCTAGTATGGTCCCCGGCCCATCAAGGTCTGAAGGGGAATGAGAAGGCGCACGCGATCGCCCGAGGGCTCACTTTCCGGTCGATCGACGCTGACCCGCCGCCTTCGCGCGAGCAGCCCCTCTCCACAAGAGACGAACTACGAACATTTCAGGAAATCACCGCACACTATAAACTCCACAGTAAGATTTCTCCAGAGGCAGCTAAACAGCTGAGCAAAAAGGAGGAAATTATGTGGTGAAAATTGCAAACCGGGGTGTTTTCAAATCCTCACCTGTACAGTAAATGGCACCCGGAAGTGTTCAACTTCAGATGTGCGCACTGCAACAGCACTGCGGGTTTAGTGCACATGGTATGGACCTGCCCATCCTACAATGATCCAAGTAGAAACGTAGAATCCTGGGGGGCCTTATTACACAGCCGTGACGCTGAACAGCGTCAAGTCATCGGTCTCGCCCTGACCGCCGCCGAGTCCCAACGAATTCCGGCCGATGGCTAGGGGAATGATTGGGGGCAGAGGCCGAAGCCTCCTCCCCCGTCATTCTAGACGGGTGCAATAAACGCTATTTTTCTCTCTCTCTTGCAATCACAGTTTCAGCTGTCATTCTGCGTGCATGCTAAGTACACAAACCAATACTGTGAACTCAAACCAGTCGTCGCATAATGACAAGTACACAAACCAATACTGTGAACTCAAACCAGTCGTCGCATAACGACAAGCAGAGGACGTAAGCATGTATTGTTAACCAAAAAAAAAACAGCCCCCGCAGAAGATTTAATGAAACTTTAGTGAGAGAACGCGACGTCCTGCACAATTTACTACGACGTTAGAGCAGGCATTGAATTGAGCAGACATCAAAGCATACTCGTAGTGATAGGCGCACAACTTCGCAAGGTAGATCAGAAAATGTTGGCCTGAAGTTCTCGCTTCCTATTCTATGCAACCATATCTTTTGTCACAACTTGTTGCGCTTAAAGGGTGATATTATAAAGAACTTTCGGCCGTCACTACATTTGTTCTGCCATCATAAGGCGCAACTATCGCTCACGGCAATGAACATAACATTACAGTGCCAAAGAGTGAAGCCTAGGGCCATGAGTATTCCTAATGGTTTCAAGCTGTTCTGTTGAAAATAGGTATTTAAAGACTGCAATGAGTTGTAGTTGAGCCTTCAAGAGCCATTTGAGGCTTTCGGTGTGTTCACAGGTATTTTGACCGAGTTATTGTGAGCTACACTTCAAAGCTGTCTCAAGTGTTAACTATCCGAAGCTAGTCATGTATGCATGGTTGTTTTTTTTCAATAACTTTGTAGAGGTTTATTGCTGTCATCACCGTGGTGGCAGCAACGAAAGGGCTGCAGTTTGCCAGCTATCTTGAAGTGTAAATCTGTAGTGAACCGAAGCTATGTTGCAAGAGCACTGCAAGGGCTGTGCACTTCCTCTGAATAGTACCATTTAATATAGTTGTGACTCCAAATTTGGCTATGCAATTTTGTAAGATAGTCTAAACTCATGAGATAAAATCTGTTGTAGGTGGTGCATCTTACACCACATTAACTTAATATTCTACACTGCAAATACATCGTCACTAAAGATTATCCTATCATTACTTGAGTTCTCTGCATATTTGGGAGATGTGCAAACCCTCCTTTATTTGCTATTGCTATTTGCTATTATTTGACTGTTGAGTCAAAGACGTCAACAACCGTGGAGTAAGAGTCTATCTTTTATATGCCTAGAGCGGAAGTCCCTCTACGTGACATTCACGCATCGCCATGCATCTGGCTGAGGAGCACGACAGATGGCGCCACCGCACCGAGGGAAGCGCTTGCGTTTCGGCGGCGCAGTTCGAGAGCACTCAGCAGAAATAAAGTCAGTCACTGGAGTCTCTGTTGGCTGGTCGTTTGATTTCGCGGTCCGCTTACACGCGGGAGCCCGCTCCCCCCATATCACAATAGCCACGAGGAAGACGCGTTGAGCTGCGTGGAGGCTGTTTATTCTAGTACCGCTGCTGCCCAGGGCTGCGTTCCTGTACTTTGTAAATGCCTGGCATTGGCAAGCTGGAGCCGTTCAGCGCACTGATGAGCTGGGAAGAATACCGGGAGCGGGAGTACTGTACAGTACTCTATTGCCAACGATGTGCCGGATGACAAAGAGCTGTCTTCTTACGTGTTGTGGCCCGGCTACATACACCCTGCTTTGGAGCCTGTGAAGCCGTGCAAAGCGAGTTTAACGTCCATTTTTGATGTGCTCGGGAAGCATTTCTCGTCAAAACCGTCGGAAGTCGTCGCTACGTTCAAGTTCAACTCGAGAACACGACAGGCGGGTGAAACGGCTGTGGACTACTTCGCATTTTTGAAAAAACTCGCCGACAACTGTGAGTTCCGAACCTTTCGAGACAGGATGCTGTGTGACCTCATCGTTGCGGGCATTAACGATGAAGCTGTGCAGAGGCGACTGTTGGAGCAACTGGACTTGACGCTAGACATGACGAAGAAAACCGTCATTGCGATGAAGGCGACAAGCAAGGATTCGCGCGCCCTTTCGATGGTGCCGATGC